GTCCCTATTAAATAACCTACAACCTTGTATTTCAAAGACATTTCTGACATCAAAATTATTTAGGTTTATGTGAGGAATCTCTCATGTTTTGTTTAACTGGCATTAGGCCACATAAGAATAACCGATATTTTAGAAGACCCCATACCTAGAAATTGAGCCGACTCTAATTTTTCTATTAATATCGAAATTTCCATGTTTATTTACAAATGTTTGATCGAAGCGCTACCTATAAAAAGACTCGATTGACGATTATTTCCATCTTGTGTCGCCCATTAACAAGGGTTGGCATTGCAAATGGCGTCGATACATATGTATGTGTGTGTATATATATATATATTATTTTAGTGTTAGAGGAACATATCAATCAGCTTCTTCAAAAATAAAAAAGCTCCCCTCTTTTAGGTTTCTGTAATTATCTGTTGAGAAACAGGAATTTTTTTATCTAACCTTAGAAATATTTAATTCTTGAAATTAGCAATTAACAAGTGTTTACAAAACCTTTCTTTCGGATTTCAATTAAAACAACTACAATAGACTAATATTCATGTCTAAAAAGAAAAGATGCTAACATATATCGTAATATGGCTTTATTTTCTATTGCACTCTTCATAAAACTTTAGAGAAACTGTCAGAGATGAGGAAGGGACATTATTTTTCCGAAATGCCGCAACGAGCTTTTGATATCAACATGACACCAGGAGGCAGTGTGCTACAGACATTTCAACAGACAGACCTTATAGCAACGACAGTCGATTGTACTTAAGAAGAAGCTAATTGCGTGTCAAGTTAAGAGATAATTGACAGTAAAATGCCATATAAGAAAATACTATATTCATATGTTTCAGTGTAATTTTCTTCTATGTTTAAGGACAAAGCTCTATGATTTAGAGCACAAAGGGACATACATTGTTTTGGGGATAAATTCAGGTTAACATTGAGTTTTTGCCACCTTTGAGACAACATATTTACCAATTCACAGGTGTTTGGAGGAAAGTGAACATAATTTTTGAAGATAACACCATTTAAATGTTAAGAGACAACAACAAAACACATGGTTTATTTTGTGAAAATTCAATTAGACGACAAGATAATCACTCTCAAACACAAGTTAAAATCCCAGTACACTGCCCTCTTGTGTAAACTTTTGCATACCAAAAGTTCATTGTGAAGTAATCAGCTATATATTCATATACGAGTCTCTGATTGGTTGGGATTATGAAAGCCTATCCAAGTACCCGTGTAGTATTTTTTTATTAATTTTAGGCCTTATCTTTCAGTCCCGTGGGCCCCCCAGTGGCACAGCGGTATGTCTGTGGACTTAAAACGCTAGAATACGGGTTTCGATACCCGTGGTGGGCAGAGCACAGATAGCCCATTGTTTAGCTTTGTGCTTAATTACAAAAAAAACAGTCCTGTGGAAATATTTCACGCGCAACACTGTGAAATGACTGGGTAATTGTTAATGTAGAAATATATCGTATGACTCAGGCTACTAAAAGGACTTAAAATGCCTGTTAATATTTCGAAACACAACAGTTAAACATTAAAGTAAGATTTCTTTCAACTTCAACGTTGGCCTTCTTAAAGCGTGATACAACAAACGATGATCAGTTTTATTTAATGGGTAAATTTTGAAAAAGCTTTTTGTCAAATGTTTATCAAGTGTCGTATATAGATGAGACGTGAAACATTAAGTTTGTTTGTTTAATGTTACTCATAGTATATGTAAGGGATTGAATGTTTTTGTTTTCAAAATACAGCAAACTTTAGAACACATACAAAGCTGATATCTTAGCTAACTAACAATATGTGTAAAGTTAGGAATGCGAATTGATCCAAAATGTACAACATAATAATCATCCAAACTATAGTGTTTTGTTTGTTTGTTTTTGAATTTCGCACAAATCTACACAAGGGCTATCTGCACTAACCATCCCTAATTTAGCAGTAAAAGACTAGAGGAAAGGCAGCTAGTCATCACCACCCACACCCAACTCTTGGGCTACTTTTTTACGAACGAATAGTGAGATTGAATGTCAAATTATAATGCCCACACGGCTGAAAGGGCGAGCATGTTTGGTGGGACGGGGATTCGAACCTGCGCCCCGCAGATTGCAAGTCGAACGCCCTAACCATCTGGCCATGCCAGGCCCAGACCATCTTGTACGAGTCGAAGTTGAGGATGAAGGATTTAATAAAAACCGATAGATTAAATATTAAGCGAACAGTTACTTTGATTCAGTATTGTTTTCTCCTGTTTCGAAACAAATAGTATCTTGAAAGGTAATACATTTTTTCAAGATTTTCCAGTTCATTGTTTTGCACAATGAAATATTGACGAACTTGGCAAGTTTGCTTGGCACTTACATAATATTTTAATTTCGGTGACGAGGAACCCACTTTGAGACTAATAATGGCTGGAGACGGCTTGAATGGGTAATGAAGAAAAACTTT